ATGTCCCCGCTCAAGAAGCTTACACTCCTCAAGAAATTAGAACCAAACAGCTAACAAAGAGTAGAATAAAAGTGGTGAGAAGGGCATTCTACAGCTTCACAATGGAGGAAATGATACTGGAAAAGTTTCACAAGAATGTGACCTTAAAATGCACCTTCGGGCCGGCCCGGTGGCGCACTGGATAACTGCGCCACTTGGGAAGCGTGGCGGCGCTCCCGCCCGGGGGTTCGGATCCCACATACAGACCGGTTCCCGCTCACTGGCTGAGCGAGGCGCGGGAGCAACGCCGAGGGTTGCGATCCCGTTGCCGGTCCCCAGTCCGGTGCGGGGGCGACACTGAGGGTTGCGATCCGTTGCAGACACGGAAAAAGACAAAAGACAAAAAAAAAAAATGCACCTTCAAGTATCATACCGTTAACAGTGGTTTTATCCAGAGGGAGAGATTACAGGGAGATTTTCACTTTATGCTTTTACAATGCAAAAGAAAAAGACCTATTTTAAAAAAAAATGTAAATTGGCTTTGGAGGGAAAACACAAGATTTCTGATAGAGATAAATGCAAAGAACAGAAAAAGCCTTTCCAAATGTAGTGGAAATCAAATACTCTCCTATAGCCTTATGGCATATTATAACCTCCACCTACATGACTACTGTGTGCCAGACACTTCATTCTGCTCCATTTACATATATGACCTCATTTCACCCTTACTAAACCTGAAAGTAGTTACCATCCAACTGTGATGAGAAACAGAGGCCAAATCTGTGCCCAGCTCAGAACTCACCCCTGAGCTACTAAAACTCACACTGTCATCAGGCTTCTGGACATCTCTATCTGCTGTCCCACAAGCACCTGACACCAACTGACCCCAAACTAAACTCATTCTCCCCCGAAATCCCTTTCTCTAAGAAAATGGCATCACCATTCAGGCAGTAAGTTGGGAATCATCTCTCACACCAACTACACTCCAGCTACTCTGGGGTCCCTCACGTGCACCAAGCCCATGCCCATCCCGGCCTCAGTGTTGGCTGCTCCTTCCCTCCAGCACCCTGGGTACTCCAGAGCTTCACAGAGCTGTCCCCTTCTCTGCACTCCTGGGGTCTTGGGGACTTACGCTGACCACACAGGCCTGCCCTGATCACTCTGGCAACCACTCAGCTATTTCAACTGCTCTGCAGTGCGTGTTGCTTTGTGAAATTAATTTCTTCACTTGTTTATGATTTTACTGTATTTCCTCACTTTGTACGCACATGAAAGGGGGAATTGATTTCCTCACCGCTGCCTCTCTCAGCACCTAAA